CCAGCACCCCCAGGCCCTTTTCTGCCTGGCAGCCTTCCAGCCACTGTTCCTCAAGCCTGTAGCGTTGCATGGGGTGGTAGTGACCCAAGTGCAGGACCCAACATTTGGACTTGTTAAACTTCATACAATTGACCTCAGCCCATCGATCCAGCCTGTCCAGATCCCTCTGCAGAGTCTTTCTACCCTTGAGCAGATCAACAACTCCCCCTTAATTTCGTGTCATCTGCAAACTTGCTGAGGGTACACTCAATCCCCTCATCTAGGTCATTGATAAAGATATTAAACAAGACTGGCCCCAATACTGAGCCCTGGAGGACACCGCTTGTGACTGGTCACCAACTGGATTTAACTCCATTTACCACAACCCTCTGGGCTCACCCATCCAGGCAGTTCCTAACCCAGTGAAGAGTGCACCTGTCTAAGCCATGAGCCACCAGCTCGTCCAATAGAATCCTGTGGGAGACTGTGTCAAATGCCTTACTGAAGTCCAGACAGATGACATCCACAGCTTTTCCCTCATCCACTAGGCAGGTCACCTGATCATAGAAGGAGATAAGGTTGGTCAAACAGGACCCTGCCCTTCATGAACCCATGCTGGCTGGGCCTGATTCCCTGGATGTCCTGCACTTGCCATGTGAGCGCACCCAAGATGAATCACTCCATAATTTTGCTCAGTACCAAGGTCAGGCTGACAGGCCTGTAGTTCCCCAGATCCTCCTTCCGGCCCTTCTTGTAGATGGGCGTCACATTGGCAAGTCTCCAGTCTTCCGAGACCTCTCCTGTTAACCAGGACTGCGGATAAATGATGGAGAGTGGCTTGGCAAGTTCCTCCATCAGCTCTCTCAGCACTCTCAGGTGGATTTCATCCAGCCCAATAGACTTGTGAGTGTCCAACCGGCATAGCAGGTCATTAACTACTACTTCCTGGATTATGAGGGAATCCTTCTGGTCTCCATCCCTGTTCTCCAGCTCAGGGGGCTGACTACCTCGAGGGTAACTAGTCTGACTACTAAAAACTGAGGCAAAGAAGGCATTACATTAAGTACCTCAGCCTTTTCCTCATCCTCGGTGACAACGTTTCCCCCCTACATCCAATAAAGGATGGAGATTCTCCCTGGCTCTTTTTTTATTGTTAATGTATTTGTAAAAACACTTCTTATTATCTCTTGCAACAGGGGCCAGACTGAGTTCTGACTAGGCTTTTCCCTTCCTAATGTTCATTCTACATGACCTAACTAAATTCCTGTACTCTTCTTAGCCTGCCCCTTCTTCCAAAGGTGGTAGACTGTTCTCTTTCTCCTAAGTCCCAGCAAAAGCTCCCTGTTCAGCCAGGTCGGTTGTTTCCCCCACCAGTTCATCTTACGGCACACAGGGACAGCCTGCTCCTGTGCTTTTAAGACTTCCTTCTTGAAAAATGTCTGGCCTTCCTGGACCCCTTTGCCCTTTAGGACTGACTCCCAAGGGACTTTCTCAACCAGTGTCCTGAAAGTAAATCTTACATACTAAGACACTGACTTACTATGGTGTTTTCTTCACTGTATTTGTTTTTTAGCATTTATATTTTGCCTCTTTACTATAGCTCTTGTACAGATTTCACTACAATGATGATGTCATCCAGGTCTACATCTTCCTACTAAACCTCTGTAACAGTCGTTTGTTACAATGAAATTTTATCACATGAAATACCATTAAAACAAAATATCTATTGGTTGGCTTCAGATTTATAGTTAAAAAAATAATCAATAATGATAATCAAATTCCTTCTGCAGAACTTCACTTTATAACCTATAAAATAATGCTATGACTTATAAATTTGCTGACCCCAAATTTATGGTTATTTTTTTCCTAATAATGATAATCTGATTTCATGTAAAGAAATTATTTTATGACATAGAATACTGCCAGAGTAAGACTGTATGTTGATGGAAGAAGAGAAACAAAGGCACTGAAATGTGGACAAATGTTTGCATTATTTCCTGGACTGGCTACTGTTATTTCCTCTTCTTAGTTTTCCCAAAGGAGTTTTAACCTACCCAGAATCTTCACTCATCATTACACCTAACCTTTCCCAGCACATCACTTCCACCTTTACTCTCTCCACTGCCTTGCAGTACAATACCACATCACATTACTTACAACCTCCCTCAGTTACATTTTCAGTTTGTATTTTAGACAATTTGGTTACATAACCTTGAAGGTATGCCACCAGACTGACAAGAGATCACTATCTAGCATTTTCAAAGTACAGATTTAAGGACTGATATCTATACATCCCACTTGCTTTTATAGCTTTTGCATTTCGGTAGGAGCTTTATTACAGGCATATTATACAGCTGTGGAATTCATTACAAGCCAAAGCCGATATCACCTGTGGGCAAAGTCAAACCTCCCTTTCCTCCTTCAATACTACTATAGTTCAGGATAGAACTTGTAGAAATAAAAAGCTAGCAATGCTTTGCATATATCTCTTTGAAAAGCTAATTTACCATTGGCGCACAACTATTTAATAGTACAGTAATACACACCATCTTCCAAGTACTATACATACAACCCTGTGAATTAATATATAACAGTTGTGTTTTTCTGATTTTTATAACTTGTATGATACATTGAATGCCTATATCTGTACTAGTTTTATATGTATAGAATCATAGAATCATTAGGTTGGAATAGACCTCTAAGATCATCAAGTCCAACCATTGACCTAACACCACCATGTCCACTAAACTATGTCCTGAAGTTCCATACCTACACGTTTTTTGAACACCTCCAGGGATGGTGACTCCACCACTTCCCTGGGCAGCCTGTTTCAATGTTTGACTACTCTTTCGGTAAAGAAATTTTTCCTACTGTCCCATGGAAACTTCCCCTGGCACAAGAAGTATGCTAAAGATTCTGCTCAAAGTCATGGACAAATTCTGTACTATCACAAGACATATTTAATCCATTTAGGCATCCAGTAGATTGTGCATCTCCATCACTATTAACAGACAGCTACTTGAAAAGTGACTTCCTACATACCTTCCTAAATATTCAAGGTCATTTAAATTTACTACGGAATGGAAGCTTTTGTCTAAAATTTCCCCCCTCATGCCAATACCACTTTCAAGCTCTTTAGAGGAAAGAAACATCAATCATCCGTGTTGCTCTAGGAGGTGCTAGCTTGTTATAATTCCAGTAAGAAATGCACTCAGACTCTGTAAAGTATCTCCTAAAATGCTGTTTATTGGAGCTAAGACTACAAAGAGAAAGAAGATAGTTTCAATAACCTTACACCCCTTCAGATGCTAGGAATCCTGAGCTGTGTGGAACTGAACAGGCCTCCAGCCAGGCACAGCACGCTACGCAGATTCCATTTGTGGAAGGTTACCCCATTTTGGTCATTTGAGCTCTTACAGGACTTTCTTACAAGCAGAACAATGCTTTTTTCTCAATTATACTGTTAAATAAAAAGGACATTCACATGGGAACTTGCCGCTGAAGTTCTAGATACAGGCAAGGACATGCAAGTAGTGTAACCAGTGATACCAGGCAGGAGTGGCCTGCAAGCTCCTCTGCTACAATTAGCTGCATAGTTTATCCTGCAGCACAGAGACATGCACAGAGCAGGCCTGACCGTCAAACTATACGTGCAGCACAGCGCAGGCCTGCGCTTAGGTTAACTGTTACATGGATTTCTACCTCCTTGATGTACAACGGTCTTTGATGTACAACAGCCAGGATAACTACAGCACCTTACATTTCAGTGGGATGTAAATTATTTAAAGTAAATTGAGTTTACCAATTCAGTTATAGGGCTGTAAAAAAAGCCAGTTAAATTGCATACCTGTCAGCACCACTGTGTGTTCTCCACCACAAGCAACCTTATTAACCTTTTCCATAATTCCCAGTACAGGCTGTGGGACTCTGTTGTTCTTCAACTGTTCAGGCAATAACCCCAGTTTCCCATTCTCAGGTTCTCCAAAAGTATAGAGCTCACCATCTCCTGTGAAAACACAGAACAGAGCAGGATTTCCAGCATGCACTCAGAAGCAATGAAGGGTTGTCAAGACTGCTGCAGACATAAATCAGTAAGGTAGAAAAGTGTATGAACATTACGGGATAATAGAACATATTTGTATAACGTTCAAACAGCTGTGTGCAACAGTCTGCTTTGATGGGGCAAGAAGGGGCTAAATTTTAGCCTCCTCCAAGATGAGTACCTCAATATTTAGCCTGCAAGGAATCTAGCCGAGGGAAAAACAAAACCATATATATCCTGCTTCTGACAAGTTATAATTCCCTCTGTAATCAGTATCTATGTCAACTGAAGTTGCTTGTAAGAATATCAATTAAAATAGAACATAATTTTGCATGGAATTTTGATGGAAAACCCAAACTTTCTCCTTGTAAGATATAGAGAAAAAAAGAAAAAAAAGCAGAGTAAATGACTGTTCAATCCCAAATTTGGGCAATTCATTTTACTTTCAAGTTTTCTTTGTTTTATCTTTTCCAATTGCTCCCTTTGCTTTTTCACTGCTACATAAGTCTGAATTACCATTCTGTATATGGTAACATATGATGCAAAACCACATCTTCCTTTTCTGTAACTATGGGACAACTAGTTAGTAATACATTTTCATTTACGTGAACTGGTAAATCCAATAGATAAACTAGACTCAAAATGTTTCTCCTGGAAATCTCTTTTGCCAGTGACATGTATTTTTGTTTCTTTATGGCACTCGGCTCTTGATTATTTTGTGCTACAGAGTGACTACAGCAGCAGATACATGGAACAGAGCAACAGGGACTGCTTTTGCCAGGACCCTCCATCAGAAAGGCTTTGATTCATTCTGAAAACCCTTAAACTACTATGCCTTTTAATAAGGCAGTACTTCTCCTCCCATCCTCTCAGAAGTAGTAATTCTGGAGCAGTCATGCTGACCTCTGATGTTTGTCACCTTTGGTATTGACAGTCCACAATAAGTGAAAAAAATTACAATCTATTTCCTTCAAAGGAAGCCTGCAGATAGGTTTTCAATAAATTTTATCTATAGGGAGAATCTGAAGTATGTCTCTTATTTTATGCTAAAGTTCATTCAGGACCAGAAAAAAAACAAAAAACCAAAACAAAACAAAAAAAAACCCCGACGTTATGCATTTTTAAGATACCTCAGCTTCAAATTAATTTAAATATATAAATTTATCAATTAACTTGAAAATTCTGAAAAAAATGTATTACATACTGAAAAAGCAAAAACTGTAAAAAGGATTTTTTTTTTTCATAAAAGCTGAATTCCTGCTTTAAATGGAAAATGGGTCCTAAGACTCAACATAAAGTTGCAACCCCAGCACTTCCACCAAAGATTTAGAACCTGACTTTGGCACAGTATTTATTTGTAAAGCTTACAAGACCTAAGAAATTTAGCCTCTGCCTTAGTCAAAGAAATCTCAGACTATCTGACATGTTTTTTATATTTTCCAAGATCACTTCTGCCTCTCACAACAGCACAGATTCTTCAAGTACCACGCTCCTGGGCTACCAAGGCTAGCAACTGGACTTACTATTTTTACAGAAAGCTCTAGCTACACAGAGAGGCAATGAGAGAATGGCAATAATACAATCTTACTCAATGTTAAGCTTTCTGCAGGGTTTCCCAGGGCTCAGGCTATTAAGAGTAGCCACCCACAATCTATTCACAGAGATACATTCTCTTCAGGAAGATAACGAAACAGGATAGCAGCTGCATTTCCCAACTATCATCATCAGGGGTGTAACCCCAACCTCACAGTCCTTTTTTTTTTTTTTTCATTCTGATATTTTCTTTCCTGCACACACAAACTACCCCAGTAACAGTATAACACTTCATTTACCTGCATGTATGTGTGCAGAAATACCCTTGGTGCACTCTTCTACACTTCCTTCCTAAGGGGTGTTTTGCAGTCATTTCAATCTGTCTGTGTTTTTTAAGAAACAGCAAATGATCTCAGCTGCAGAAAAGTATATTTCACTTCATTTCTAAACTACGGACTGTTTTAGGCTTCTCTGTTCAGTTTGATTTTCTGTTTTAATTCTGATCTTTATTCTTATACCTACATGCAGAAATACTTTGAACAGGCTGACACTTTGCCGTTATTTGCAGCAGCATCAATTTTCTATTCTAAAACAGTAGCCCAATTAAAAACAAAACCAAAAAAAATCAAGTGCAATGTGAAGTTTTATGTAACCAAAACATTCCATTAACAAAAAGAGATTTTATTAGGGATTCTAAGTGAAAAGAAAGAAAAAAACCCAACCATAAAAAGAACTCTGTATTTTTTGGAAAGTAAGTATTGTTTTAATACTCTTGGATCTGCCATATATTTCTAGCAATAAGCTGATAAACCCCCTCAAACCCCTGGGGAGTTAACTACTCATGCAGTTCTCTTTAAAGAGTCCAGCACTTCTTTTTAAACACTACTGCACTGCAAATATTAATCCAATCACAATCTAATTAATAGGATTAAAGTTTCAAATGGCCAAGCTTCCATTGACTTCCCAAACTAATCAAGTTTATTACATTTTTTCAACTTAATAACCCAGCTAACAAAGATAAACTCATTTATTAAAGCAATTTTTGAATACATTACATACCCCTTTAAGGCAAATAGTAGCCTAAAAACTATGAAGAATAGCTGTCAAGCATAAAAAGAATCCAGGCAAACCCACATGAATTCTGAGTACAGGATGTGCACAGTGCATCTGCATTCTAAGGACATTCTGTTCACAATGGAACCTGGTTATATCATTCTTCTCCTCTCATGAGAGTCACAGTTCTCATGTGTTGAACTTTCCCTAGTGTGGCACATTTTCTTTATCACTAAACTTCAGGCCACGGGAACATGTCAAGGAAACGGGCAAGTGAATATAAAACTACCTTTGCCCCTCAAAGGCAAATGCACATACTGCAGATGAGAGAAGATATGAGACCTGGCTGGTAGCAAATGAGGCACGTAGACAAAAGAATTGGATCACTCTATGATACCTTGAATAAATGAAGAAAAAAAAAAAAGAATTATTTATTCAAGACTGAATTGGTTGAAATCACCTCAAATATTGAAATTCTGAGTATGGATGTGTTTGTGGACGGGATGATCCTTAAAAATGGTCCTTAAAAACAATGACAAAGTATATTAAAATAGGAATTCAAGGAACCCGCAAAGCCCTCTATGAAAAGTCATCTTCTCAGTAAGAATCTTGACCTTGCTTACAATAACAGTTCAGGCAGGGAAACACCAGAAGAGGTCTAGTATGTTCAATTCCTTTCTAGCTCCACAAATCTAATTCTGCTGTAGACACCAGAGTAGTGGTTAGATACTGGCTAACCTGAAAAGTTGGCTTTTCCTGCTCTCCATCTCCTCCAGTGGACAAATGAGCTACATACGCTTGTCAAGCTTAACGCTTTTTGAAAAATTGTCCTCTCTTGAGTGAGCGTGGTCAAAGGCTAGTCAGCTAAAGATCTGTATATGGACTCCAAATTGTTGCTACACTCTTATTCTTTCTCTGTTGCTTTGTTTAAAACGTACCTCTAATATGGGGACCTAACATGCCAAGTCTGCAAAAAGAAAGGAAAGGAAACGATACTGGGAAAAAGTTGTAAAGAGGGCTAGAAACTCTAAACTAAAAACTTGTTTTCAGTGGAACTCTCTGAAGAATGCAAAGTGAAACGAAAACGAACCAAACAACCATCTTTCAACCACGAAGTAACTGGACCATCTTCCTAATTTGCATATGCAAATAAGCTAACCATTGCCTGTGCTTTTGCCTAGTCTAAGTTTCAGAAGTGTTTTTTATTAAAAATATTTCAGGATATATTCTGTTCTTGTATTCTACAACTGCTTTTGGCGTCAGTGGGGCCCACATGTACATGGTGGAATACAGGGGGCGGACACGTTTAGTAGTTGAATTATCATCGGGATAGAAGCCATTCTAAAAAGCAAAAGCAAGAAAGGTGATGAAACATCTTTTTGGAACCACTAGACAAAAAAACAGGTGAGGGGAAGGTTGTAGAACTGATGTACAAATTTAGACAATTGAATGCCACGCAATTTCCATCAAACATGCTTTTATCCACTAAAGGTTTGCATCAGGATTCCACTCTATTTTTCATTGACATTGTACTTGACTTTATAGTAGTTAAATACCTTAGTTAAAACACCTTATAGACAAATGCCTGCTAACAAATCTTTTCAAAACCAGCTGTTTCAAAGAAATAACAAATTCAGTTTAAAAAAAAAAAAAAAGCTGGAATCCATACTTGACCACTTTTTTTCTCAATAGTCTCTTATTAATAAACATCCTGCCCTGGAGAGGGCACTCTGTGACCACACTATATATTCTAGTACCCTCATTAACCCCGTTTTAGTTTTAACCCAGACAGGCCTGCGATCCTAACAGTTTGCTTAGCCAGTGTACAGCTTCTGTCAAACCTAAATATATTAAGAAAGGGAACCACATGGTGCCATGCTCATCAGTTCAGCCTGACAACATGTATCAAGTCCTACACAGTGCAACTATGTTTTATTATTAAAGACTGTATTATTTGATGCTTTTCTACATACAAGTCATGTTTAAAAAGTCAAAATGTAGTAATTCTATAGTATGCTAACAACTGATAAGTTACAGGTGTTGAAAGCTTTCTGTTAACAGTGTTTCTCCCATTTCTTTCACAATAACAGCAACCACAATCTAAAAAAGCTCCTCTGGGATACTTTATTGATGTTGAGGTAATTAATACAGATTATACACTTGCCTGACCAGTCCAAATTTCATTTCTGGAAATACAGAACCACTTTCTTTTCCAGATATTTCCTCCAAAGTATATATTAAAAATAACACTAATCACTCTAAATTCTAGTACACAAGATAAAACCACACAATAAAAACACATGCAAAACTCCTGTGCTAGGCAAACTTTTAAACATACTTCAAGGCATAATTCAATGGCTAACTGGCAATTGGGGGTACGGGGGACCCTACCCCGTAATAGGAATATTCCAAATACTCCATAGTTATCTGTTTTGCTATGTTCCACTACCTCTTAGAGGCAGAATACTGAGGATGTGAGGACTGTTCTGAGTCAGTCTAGCAAGTCCTACAGGTAAGTGTTTTCCATAAGAGAAAAAAGAATCCTAATAATACTAAAAGAATCATCTTTTTTTAAAGGAGAATCTTTTAACAGCATAGTGCCTTGCCTTCCTTCCTAACTAGGCTGTAAGAAAAATAAGGTAACTACATTTGTACTTAAACAGACTCAGCTTGCAGAACTTCCAAATTCATAATTTGATGGCTAACTTCACAGCTAAAATAATGTGTGACTACGGTACACCTAGATTAAATGCATAAGCTTTGTTTTGTCTGTATATACACTGACAGTAGTGCAACAGAAGATCAATTCAGTAAAAGAACCTGGATGTCCAACACTAAATTTCTATGGTAGTTAAAGTATCAGTCAAATAAAACTGTCACCAAGGGCCCAAAGGAAAATAATAAAAAAATATTTATCCTTTCACCACAAACGAGGCCATCTGCGTGTCAGTAGTTTCACTGAGGCAGACTGAAGCCAAATTTCTGCAGGAATTGCAGATACTGAGGCTGAAAATTAAGATTTTCTATCTCACACCCAGGCCTGTTTAAATAGTAACGGGTTCAACAACTCCCCATTTTCACAGGTGATAACCAGTTCATTTTCCTATTAATATTTTAAGAGGCTCCATTTTTCTTACCCAGCTGCTACCCTAATCCTTTTTTCTCATCCCCCTTCCATTAAAAGTTTCCACTTCCTTAGAGCACTTGGCACACACTGTTCTTTCCTTGCTCTTAGATGCTCATCCTCAACCCTTCTTCTAACGAGAGCTTTTGTCATATCCCACTGCAGTCTTGTCAGTGCTCTTGGCTCTAAGGGAGAAATACACACCTGCTTACTATATCCTTGAAGTACGGAATTTTTTTTTTTTTTTTATTTTTCATTTATTTTGAGCTCAGGAAGCTGAGCTTAACTCCTAACAGGTGCTGAGCTCCTGATCAGTCAGAGGCACTTCAATCATTTACTGTAATAAAGCATCTGTAACAAAGGTTGCACACTACCAGCATAACACCTATTTGTCCACCACAGGATGCTCTCATTCTGTTAACAGCATGTTCTCTCAGAGCTATATAGATATCATACATGGAAAAGTAACATTTATCAAGTAACCTGAGAAAAGTACCTGATGGAACAGTTCCCGGGTACCCATTAAAAGCTTTACAATCAAACTATTGATCCTTTGAAATTTTTAATTACTCTAGGGGACTCAATGTAAAGCTTAATAATATAAATCTATATGGCTGAAAAGAATTCATGGCTGCTCATATGTAATACTATCAAAACTGACTGATAAATTCACCCATGCTGGCATTATTAAAAAATGAGTGGTATCACCACTTTGGAAACCAACAGAGAGATGGGAAGAGAGAGATGGAAAGCAACAGAGAGATGGGTTGGTTTGGAGACCAGACACTGGCTCACTGTAGCGTATGCTTCTCCTCATAATCTATACTGCCTGTTTAACTGACTTCAAAACTTAAAATTTGAGACATAACATCAGACTTTGACAACAATATTGCACTGCTAGCAGAGAGATTAATTTTTCCTCCAAACATAGCAAGTCTATTCAATATTTATATTTCTGAAGAAGATGAAGATGATTGATTGGTCATCACAAAAAAATGAATGATCTCAAGAAAAACTGGATTGAAACCATAGTATTAATCCACATCTTTTGTCAGAACCTTCATAAAAATAAAATGTGGTAAGACAGTCATTCTTTCTAATACACTTTCGCACAACAATGTGCATATGCAGAAATTAAACTGCAGTTTTTTCCTCACAGTATTCTTAATTGAACAATAATAAACAATTATATAGTAAATTACATACAAGTTTCCCAAATAAATCAATTAAGACCACATTTTAGACAACCTGTTCTCTGGTAAAATCTCCCAATGCAATACAAAACTACATAGCTGACTTTCTGCGACACAGCAGCTTTTAACAACTATGGCATATCTAGTTCCAAAAGTAATGAATGCCACATTAGCTACTTTTAAAAGACAACAATTTGAGAACCACTGACTTGTCTCCACTAACCACTATTCCCATTCTCTTACCCGTTATCAAGGCAGAGTGGTAATATCCACAGGAAACAGAGGAAACAGGTTTTCCAACATCCACTTGACAAGGGACACTGACACAAGCTTCATCAGCCAAGCCAATCTGACCTTCTGAATTGTCACCCCACACAAAAAGCTGCCCATCCTCTAAAATGAAGACGTAGACAGTTAACAGATTTAAAATCAAAATTAATAAAAAGTTAATCTACCCATTTAAGAGCATTTCATAAACTCTGTGTACGATCCTACTAAATGTCATGATCTCAGGGACATAAAATGGTATTTAGCACAACAAAACAGTCTGAAGTAAGAGGGTATCCCTTAAGCTTGTCAAAAGTGACACCGTACACTTAATTATCAACTGATGTTAGACCATAAATAGCAACAGGAAAAGTACTGTGTAAAAACATTCCTTCAAAAAGAGGAAGATTGAGCGTATAAAACAATTCAGTTGCCCGAGGCCAGTATGAAAATATTATGGTGAATTTTAGGCACCTTCTCATTTCTTGTAGCAAGTCACCACTTTCTCATTCTTACAAACTTATTCTCTGTTCTGCCTTTGGTACACAACCCACTTATTCTTGCCTTATCTTTTAATTCTTTTCACAGGAGATTATATTGCGCAGCTTCAATTTGTTTTCCTTAAACTATCACAATAGCTGTTCCAGACTTATTAAGACCAGCCTCTGTTGACACAAAGACCAATGGTAGCAGCAAAAAAAAACAAAACAAAAAAAGGTAGTGAACAACATGAAACATTTCTAGGCAACAACATTTCTTTTTGCCAAGAAAGGTTGGACAGGCATGGTAGCATCTCTCACATACACTGTTATGGTCTGTGTCACATTCTGAAATGACAGCCTCAATAACTTATCCTAAACAGGTACAGAAATAGCTGCTTTATACTAAAACTTGAGAAATTACATTATCGGGTAATAAAGGACCACCCATCCAATGGCTGAACGTATTCTAACTGTGTGGACTTCAACATGTTGCAAATGTATGATTTTTGCCATAGGAGAGATAGGCCACAGGCCAGGCCCCTCTCAGAATTAGCAATGACACAGCTGTGTAGCCTGTACCAGTAGACCAAAATAGTTGCAGTAAGAAGTGGAATTAGAGAAACTTTGTTTTCATAAGATTCATGTTTCGTCACTGGCTTCCCTGGGAAATGAACTGAAGATTTTTCCCATTTTGAGGGTACTCATACTGTCTCTCCTTTATAAGGATTCCTAGTAAACTAGTACAGGCCGAGCTCCCATTACAGGCTATCACTCACAAAAAGGTCTGCTTCCACAAAAATTGCAGGAAGTTAATGAGACTGCCACCCCTTACCAGATTGTGGTGAAACAGGCAATTGGCTATCAAAAACCAACTACG